CGACACGTCCGGATCTATATCCCTGAATTTTTTCAGAATTTTTTGATGACATTTTCAAGAATGAAATTTTTCATTTCGACCCATCCTCGACGATTTTCGAAATTTAACTTAATAAATTTTGTTGCCAATTTTGGAGCGCAAAAGTCACTCTTGGCTTCATTTCTGCGATAACTTAAACTGTTTTTCTAGAATCGTCCATTGAAATATCGCAATTTTTAAAAATTTCGAAAAATTTCAATTTCACACCGAAATTTCCGATATTGCTCCGTTACCATCAACACGCTATATTCTGTGAATCAGTGTCCTGAGTTTTTTCACAATTTTTAGACAACTTTTTTAAAAGTGAAATTTTTTCAGTGGTCCCCTCTTCTTCTTCCAAATTTTGACATTTTCGAAACTTAACTAAATACATTTTCTTGTAGATTTCGAGCTCTAGAACTCACTTCCGGTATCGTTTCTTTGATAAGTGTAACCGTTTTTCCAGAATCGAACGTTGAAATATCGAAATTTTTAGAAATTTTCAAAAATCCGCATTTCGTACCGATTCTTTCGAAAATGTTGCTCCGTGACCATCAACACGCTATATTTTTGGAATCAGCATGTCGAGATCTACGTCTTTGAATTTTTTCGCAATTTTTGGAGAACTTTTTTAAAAGTGAAATTTTTTCAATGGTCCCGGGCTTCTTCAAATTTCGGCCAAATTTTGGCACTTTCGAAATTTAACTAAACATATTTTCTTGTAGATTTCGGGCTCTATAACTCACTTCCGGCATCGTTTCTTTGATAACTGCAACCGTTTTTCCGGAATCGAACGTTGAAATATCGAAATTTTCAAAAATTCCTTTTCCATAGCGATTCTTTCGAAAATGTTTCTCTGTGACCATCAGCACACTATATTTTTGGAATCAGCATGTCGAGATCTACGTCCCTGAATTTTTTCGCAATTTTTAGACAACTTTTTTAAAAGTGAAATTTTTTCAATGGTCCCCCCTTCTTCAAATTTCGGCCAAATTTTGATATTTTCGAAACTTAACTAAATACATTTTCTTGTAGATTTCGAGCTCTAGAACTCACTTCCGGCATCGTTTCTTTGATAATTGCAACCGTTTTTCCGGAATCGAACGTTGAAATATCGAAATTTTCAGAAATTTTAAAAAATTCCCTTTCCATAGCGATTCTTTCGAAAATTTTTCTCTGTGACCATCGACATACCATATTTTTGGAATCAGCATGTCGATATCCACGTCCCTGAATTTTTTCGCAATTTTTAGACAACTTTTTTAAAAGTCTAAATTTTCAATGGTCCCCTCTTCTTCAAATTTCGGTCACATTTTGATATTTTCGAAACTTAACTAAATACATTTTCTTGTAGATTTCGGGCTCGATAACTCACTTCCGGGATCGTTTCTTTGATAACTGCAACCGTTTTTCCGGAATCGAACGTTGAAATATCGAAATTTTGAAAAATTCGTATTTCGTACCGATTCTTTCGAAAATATTGCTCCATGACCATAAACTTGCTATATTTTTGGAATCGGCACCTTGAAATACATATCCCTGAATTTTTTCAGAATTTTTAGACAATCATTTCAAAAATGAAGTTCTCCACTACATACAAATTTCGACCCATTTTTGACGATTTTTTCGAAATTTAACTCAATACTTTTTCTTGTAGATTTCGGGCCGCAGAAATCACTTCCGGCCTCATTTCTTCGATAACTTCAACTTTTTTTCCAGAATTAGTTAATTAATTCAGTGCATTGAAATATCGCAATTTTTAAAAATTTCAGAAAATTCAATACAATACGTACGTAATTTTTGCAAGTAGGTGCATGTTTTCAAGTTCAGTTCGGATTGCAGAGTTTTGTTCGGATTAACGAGACATCGACTTCAACTAGTCTCTGTTCGGATTACTGGATGTTCGGATTATAAAGGTTATACTGTATATCTAAATATAGTGTCACAACTGCTTTTAAGGTTTTATAATTTCGTGAATTTATGGGATTCGTAGAATCTCTAAAATCACTCGAAGCTCAAAGATCACATTTACTTCTGGACTCTCTGAATCTGTAAAATTTCAATCAAATATCTGGAGTTTCTGGAATCTCTAAACTCTGTGAAAACATTGAAATGCCCGAAATTCTTACAAAATTTATACAATCTATAAAATTTCAATGATCTCCAGGATCTCATCTAGAATCCTTACAATTTCTATAACCCAAAGAATAAATTGTGAATTTCTGGAATCTTGGGAGTCTAATCTTTAGAATCTTTGATATATTTATTTAAGATCCCTGTATTTCACGGATCCCATCCTTGAAGTTTCTACACTCTCTAAAATCTGTGGAATCTCTGAATATTTTTGTAATGTTTATAATCCTTGGGATTTAAAAATTCTCACGAAACAATGCAATTTCTAGAATATAGAAGTTTTTATGGAAACTCTTATCTAGAATCCTTGGATTATGTATAATTTCGAGGACCTCTGTGGGATCTAGTATCTCTGGTATTTCTAAGGTCTTGAGAATTTCGAAAATTTATAAGATTCTCTACGATCTCTAGAACCAATGAATCTTGGAACACTGAAATCTCCGGAGTTAACAGTTTCTGTGGAATATCTAGCTAAAATCATAGAAAAAGTATGATCTCAATATTTCTGTATCTATGTCAGTGGGTTCTAGCTTCCTATATAGATATATGTGATGAACAAGGATATCTAGATTTTAGGTATCAGAAGCTGCGGCATCGTTGGAAAAAATAAACTTTCTGCCATCTATGGTTTTTTGGAACCTCCTAGAATTCCTAAATCGCGTATAATTTCGAGGACTTTTAGCAGATCCGCTAGCATTTGGATCCCTACAGTTCTAGAATATCTAGAATCTTGATGATTTCTAAAATTTATAATCCTTAGGATCGCTAAAATCTTAAAGATTTCAGAGTCCACAAAATTCCTTATAATCTCTAGAACCACTGAATATTTAGCTAGAATCCTAGAATATGTATAATCTCTAGAATCTCTGTGGTATCTATAGTGTCATTGGAGCTTCTATGATTTTCAAAATCTTGAGAATTTATAGCATTTTTAGGATCTCTAAAATATCAAGGATCTCTACGACTAGAAATGTGTGCACGAGTTCAGCTATTTCTAGGACATAAAGATCGCTGGAATCTCTGAATCTTAAACATTTGGATTGTTTGGAATTTCTGGAGTTTTCAGATTTTTCTGGATTTTCTGAATCTATCAAATTTCGGTCCAATTCCTGGAGTTTCTAGAATTTCTAAAATCCATATAATCTTTAGAATCTCAAAGATCTCCGGAATCTGGAATCTCTAAACTGGTGACTTCGATTTTTTATGAAATTACTAATCAAAAGGAATAAAAATGGAAATTTTTATTATTTATATAACCTAAGAATCTTTGTAATCTGGATATTCAGTGAAATGTCTTTAATCCTAAAAGTCCCAAAGTTCTCAAGGATCTATGCAGATGTTAATTATCTCAAAAATTCTATGTATCTGTGACATCGCTGGAAACTATGAAATTCCTAGAATCTACAGTTTTTCTTGAATTACAATTTCGAGGATTTCTAATATCTCTGGGGTATCACCGGTCTTATTTTTGAATATTTGAACTTTCTTGGCGAGGAAATTCGGGATATCGAGCTCCTCATAAATATCTGACGCAGCATTCGAGTACTTACGACTGATAAATACCAAATACCCCTTTTCGAGCACTTAGCGCGTCACTGGCGTCCGAATGGAGTAACCTCGACTCCACAGTCCGTTTTTCTTTGTCTTCGCCGCGTAATTGCCGTTTTAAAAGCTTGTTTGTGCCCCGATTTAAAGCTCTTAAAATTTCCAGCAACGTTTCAAAACAAGAACAATTTGCCGCATGCCGCGAATTGGCGTCTTTCCGTTTATGCTGTCATATTTTAGACGGAGGAATTCCGTCTATATTCCCTCCATAAACAGACAAGCGAAATATGTAGCCTTCGTATTAAAATATCGCGGTGTACGCAGTCGTAAATTTTACGTCTCGGATCAAAGATCGCTTCGGTTATTTCCTGCAATAAAATCAATCTAATTGGCGTGCTTAGCCGACGCCATGCATGCGAGCTTGATCAGATAAATCCGCTGCAGCATGGTGATAACAGGGATTTTGTGGGTCGAGCTTCGCCGAGCGTGTCGATCAGACGCTTGTGTCGTAACTCTCAATTCGGGCTTTAATTTGCGACATTTTTAGCTCGCGCGGGCGAATTCAGCTCTCTTTATTAAATATGTATTACTCGAGAGGTTTGCCAGTATTTCATTAATTACGGCCACTTGGCAACGAAACCAAAAACTTAATCGAAAAGGGTCCTTTATGGACTTAATGAGTCGATTATCTCCCGATCCAGGACACAATAAAACGTTTTTATAAGTTTGTTTTGGCGTCCTGGCTTCCGATGATAAAAAAATAATTCCGGCGAATTTATGGCTCTCGTTTTTTCAGATTTAATTCGTTTCCTGGGGCACCGAATAAACTTATAATCGCGTTAATATTGTTTCTTGGAGTTTTTCTCGTCATTCCGTGACGTTTGACGTAACAGGGAAAAGTTCGCTCGACGGCCGCACTTATAATTGCCACAATTACTCGCTTATTAAGAGGCGCGCTAATTGCGTCATTCAGCTCATGTTTGTAGTCATCCGAGGATCCATTAATTTCGGAATAGGAGTTGGAACGAGTTTTTTCTTGATGTGCTCACGGCGCGTATGGATTTCTCTGTGGAAGTATGAGCGGCGTGGAGAGAATACGATAAAACACAATAAAATTTTGTGGCGAAACTTCGCCCCAACTTACTTTCCTATTTCACTGAAGAATAGACAAAGCTCGAAAGTTCGAGGCAAGCCAGCCGGTGTGGCGACGAGTAGCTAGCTCTCTGCTTTAGTAATCATCGTCGAGGGCAATCTCCCATTAATACGGTATAAATGGCATTAACAGAAGATTTTTGACGCGGTGGACGAACCCGACGGTTCCAGTTCGTGAACGCGACCTTGGCCATTCTTAATTGAATCGAAAGTCGTCTTTCGCAATTTATTTTTTCTTTGTGTGCGGAAAACGGGCGTCAGTTTTAAGATTCTCGACGAAGTTGGCTCAATTACGCCTAGCTCTGTCCTGCCTAATTGGCCGCCTACATCTGCCAATACAAGCGGCACCTCTCCGGAACCGCGGTCCAACTTTTAATTAATCTCCGCGCTCCGCGATCTGATAATGAGGCGCACTTTTCGGATTTAAAGCTTTGTATTGAGGTGTCGGTTTCCAAGTTTAAAATTTATCCAATTACGCCGTCTGCAAACTTGGTAATTAAAGTTTTTCGGGATTTTTGTCGACTCATCGCGACTGCATTCGCAGGATTTCCATTGTTAATGAGGGTCAAGTTCTACATGTCAGCGACTAATGTTTTCAATTATTAAGGATAGCTTAGGTCGGCTTTGCTCTCGCTCCTTGTTGTTCTAGTTTTTCCGGGGGAGGATTATTTATGTAGTTGTCGGAATAAAATGGCAACGACGAATGGGGATTATTTAAGGTTTTACTCGTTTTCTTTTTGACTTGTGCTCGTTTGAGACGGCGCTTTAGTGTTTAATGAGCTCGTCAAGCATAAAAAAATAAAACGGACGGTGTTTGGACCTTAAGTTGAATATTAAGTGGCTCCGAATTGAAAAGTTAAATAATGGAGATGGATCTTTTTTCCTGAAACATCCTCAGGAGCGTTCCATAATTTACTCATAATCGACGTCGACCGGTTAGCGCATTTTCCAAAATTTTGCTCGAGAGGGAAGACGTCAAAAGTAGCTCGACGTTGATCGGGAATGCGAGGGAGGAGTGTTATATCCCGCACCGTAAGCTAGAGTAAATCTGACATCCATAACCAAATAAATGTTCCGATCGTCTTTGTTCCATCCGTCTTGGTGTTTTTCTACTCCCACGGTGCGCTCCCCTCTCCGATTTTAATTTGTTTTGGAAGGAATAATAAATATTGAGCTAATTCAGGTAACCGCCTATTGTTATTTCAAAATTCATCAAGGAAGCTGAACCACCGGAAGCTATTTGAAGTTTATATTTAAACATGACCTACGAATTTCCCTGAAATAATAAAGTAATGAATTATACTAATATTTAGCTTATCTGTATTTTATTACCGCTTGTAACGCCTGGAAGTTGAATTTTAAACGAAAAGGGATGAGCAATGGATGAGCGAATCTGCATTTTCACTTTCGTGAAAAACATGGCCGCTATCGATCACCTGAATGAAGTGGCGGCTGACCATCTTTCGAACAAAACTTTTTAGTTTTGTTGTGGCCATTCATAACCTGCCGCCACGAGAACTTAATATAAAGTTGCGAAATCTTGATAAATTTTTCGTTTAATTTATGGCAACCGATGAAACATGGCTTCACGAAGAGCGAGTGCTGGAAGCGGCAACCGCGATTTTTTGCCACCGGGAGGATTAATTGATGAGACGTCGTTTTATGACTCCAGATTAATAGGACTTGGGGCGGGGCGCTCCTGCACCTCCCGACAAGATCATAAAACAGCTTAAATGCGGGGGGAACGTCGGGAACTTAAGGCTGTTGCTGCGATAGAGGAGACAAGATATGGCCCCTAGCCACGATGCAATTATTTTCAAGGTGACGTCATTCAGAGGAGGACTAGGAATTTCATACAAAAGCACGAAGGAAAAATAATGGGAAAAATAGTAAAAAAATTCCTTCTCGCATTTTGATACAGTTATAATGATTTTAAAATTGGTTCGTTTGCTACGTTTAACTAAACAACGCATTCAATAACTACTTAGTAATAATGTACAATACAAAGATAAGTTTCTGTTGTTTTTGTAATAGTTTGATAAAATTCCATTTGACAACAATGCTTGCCTGATATAAAGCGAAGGTACAAAACAGCAAAAATCGAGTAAGCAGTTAAAAATGTTTGTCGTATTAAAAATTGTCAAAATTGTCAAAATACTACGTTTAAATATGTTTTCAGTTAATTTTAGGTCCCCTGGTGTTTTATTTTCGGATAAATTTAAAGGAATCGTTGCTGCATGAACTTGAAAAAATCTTTTGAGGTGTTGGTGTTTTATTTTTTACAAATTTGAAAAAGTCGAGTCCCGCAGCGTTTTTTTTTAATTCGGTTGTTAAATCGAAAAATTGAAACATCCAAAAATTGGAAAATCGAAAAACTGAAAAATTGAAAAATGAAAACCCGAAGAGTTTTCATTTAAGTGAAATTGAAGAAACGAAAAAAAAAATCAAAAACTGAAAAATAGCAAATCGAAAAATTGAAAAATGAAAAATTGAAAACTAAAAATTGCAAACTAGTGAAATTGAAAATCGAAGAGTTACATATCGTAAATTGAAAAGCAAAAAAAAATTAAAATTAAAAAACTGCAAAACGAAAAATTGAGAAAAAGAAAAATTGAAAAATCAAAAATCGCAAATTGCTAAATCGAAAAATTGATACAATCACAACCTGGAAAATCAAAAATCTTAAAAATTTGGAAAGTTGCATGTCGTGCAGAAACAAAAAAAAAAGAATAAAAATTGAAGAAACGAAAAATTGAAAAATCCAAAAACTGAAACATTCACGCCGAGAAAGAGAAAATTTTGAAAGTGGAACAAGGGAAAACCGAAAAATTGAAGAAATATAAAAAACAAAAACAGGAAAGAAAAATTCTAAATCGAAAAATTGACAAATGACAAATTGAAGATATAAAAAATAAAATGGCACGAAAAATTACAAATCGAAAAATTGAAGAAACGAAAAAAATTGAAAAATGAAAAATTGAAAAACTAAAAATTGCAAACTAGTGAAATTGAAAACCGAAAAATTTGCTAAATCGAAAAATTGAAACAATAAAAAGTTGGAAAATCGAAAAACTGAAAAATTTTGAAATGAAATATTCGAAGAGTTACATATCGTAAATTGAAAAGCAAAAAAATTAAAAATTACAAAACTGCAAATCGAAAAATTGATGAAAAGAAAAATTCATACAACCAAAACCTGGAAAGTCAAAAATCTTAAAAATTTGGAAAGTTACATGTCGGGCAGAAAAAAAATAAAAATTGAAGAAACGAGAAATTGAAAAATCCGAAAACTGAAACATTTCACGCCTAGAAAGAGAAAATTTTGAAATTGGAACAATAGAAAACCGAAAAATTGAAGAAATAAAAAAAACAAAAACCGGTAAGAAAAATTCTAAATCGAAAAATTGAAAAATGAAAAATTGAAGAAATACAATAAAACGGAACGAAAAATTACACATCGAAAAATTGAAGAAACGAAAAAAATTGAAAAATGAAAAATTGAAAAACTAAAAATTGCAAACTAGTGAAATTGAAAATTGAAAAATTTGCTAAATCGAAACATTGAAACGATAAAAAGTTGGAAAATCGAAAAACTGAAAAATTTTGAAATGAAATATTCGAAGAGTTACATATCGTAAATTGAAAAGCAAAAAAATTAAAAATTACAAAACTGCAAATCGAAAAATTGATGAAAAGAAAAATTGAAAAATCGAAAAATTGAAGAATTAAAAAAAAAACAAAAACCGGAAAGAAAAATTCTAAATGGAAGAATTGAAAAATGAAAAACTGAAGAAATAAAAAAAAATAAAATGGAACGAAAAATTACACAGCGAAAAATTGAAGAAACGAAAAAAATTGAAAATCGAAAAATTTGCTAAATCGAAAATTTGAAACAATAAAAAGTTGGAAAATCGAAAAACTGAAAAATTGTAAAATGAAATATTCGAAGAGTTACATATCCTAAATTGAAAAGCAAAAAAAATTAAAAGCTAAAAAACTGCAAATCGAAAAATTGAGGAAGAGGAAAATTGAAAAATCGAAAAATTGAAAAATCAAAAATCGCAAATCATAAATTGAAAAAACCAAAAATTGAAGAATTTCACGTTGACAAAAAAAAATTAAATCAGAACATTCAAAAACCGGAAAACTGGACGAAACGAAAAATTGCAATCGAAAAATAGAAAATTTAAAAGTTGAAAACTCGTGAAACTGCAAATCCAAAAATTGCTAAATCGAAAAATTAATACAACCAAAACCTGGAATCTTAACAATTTGAAAAGTTACATATCGTGCAGAAACAAAACAAAATAATAAAAATTGAAAAATTGCAATTCCAAAAATCCAAAAACTGAAACATTTCACACCGAGAAAGAGAAAATTTTGAAATTGGAACAATGGAAAACCGAAAAATTACAAATCGAAAAATCGAAAAATGGAGAATTGAAGAAATAAAAAATAAAAAAACCAAACAAAAAGGTGCAAATCGAAAATTGAAACATTCTAAATTTAAAACTCGTGAAATGGCAAATATAAAAATTCAAACATCCAAGAGTTGGAAAATCGAAAAACTGAAAAATTTTTAAAATGAAAACACGAAGAGTTAAATATCGTGAAATTGAAGAACCCAAAAAAATGAAAAATTGAAAACAGGAAAATTTGCAATTCATAAAAACTGAAAAAACCAAAAATTGAGAAATTTCTCTTTTAGAAAAAAAATAAAAAAATAAAACAACAATAAAAAACCAAAGAACTGAGGAAATAAAAAAAAAACAAACCGAAACGAAAAATTTCAAATCGAAAAATTGAAAAATGGATAGTTCAAGAAATGAATGAAAAATCGAAAAATTGAAAGTTCAAAAATTGAAACATTTCACATTGAGAAAAAAAAATTATCAGAGCACTGAAAAATCCAAAAATTGAAGAAATAAAAGAAAATAAAAAAAAAGCGAAAAATTACAAATCGAAAAATTAAAAAATTCTAAATTTAAAACTCGTGAAATGACAAATATAAAAATTCTTAAATTAAAAAAGCATCCAAGAGTTGGAAAATCGAAAAACTGAAAAATTTTTAAAATGATAACTTGAAGAGTGAAATTCAAGAACCAAAAAAAGGTGAAAAATCGAAAATTGCAAAACTAAAAATTTTACTAAAAAATCCAAAAATTGAAGAAATGAAAAAAATAAAAAAAGCGAAAAATTAAAAAATGAAAGACTGAAGAAATGATAATTTGAAAAATCGAAAAATTGGAAAATTAAAAACTGAAAACTCGTGAAATTGCAAATCGAAAAATTATTGAATCAAAAAAATGAAACATCCAAAAGTTGGAAAATCGAAAAACTGAAAGATTTAAAAATGAAAAACTGAAAAATTGCAAATCAAAAATTGAAAAATGATAAATTGAAGAAATCAAAATTCGAAAAAATCGAAAAATTGAAAAAGTAAAAATTACTAGTGAAATTGAAAATCGAAAAATTGAAACAACCAAAAGTTGGAAAATCGAAAAAGTGAAAAATTTTAAAACGAAACTCCGAAGATTTACATACCGTGAAATTGACAACCAAAAAAATGAAAAATTAAGAAATTGCAAATGGAAAAATTCAGGAAAAGAAAAATTGAAAAATCGAAAAATTGAAAAGTCAACAGATTGAAAAAACCAAAAATTGAAGAATTTCAGATTGAGAAAAAAAAATTATATCAGTACACTGAAAAACCGAAAAAATGGGAAAAAAACAAAAAACCGAAACGAAAAATTGCAAATCGAAAAATTGAGATATGAAAAATTAAAGAAATGATATTTTGAAAAATCGAAAAATTGAAAATCTAACAGTTCAAAACTCCTGAAATTGCAAATCTAAAAAATTGCTAAATCGAAAAATTTATACAACCAAAACTTGGAAATTCGAAAAATTTAAAAGGTTACGTATCGTGCAGAAACAAAATGAAAACAAAAATTATCGGTTTTGCAGTTTCAAAGTTATATTGCAAAATGTTGTTATTCAGTTTTAAATTTTTTCCAAAAATTCTCTGTCTAGGATGAAAATTCGAATTCAGTACAGACAGACGGAAATGGGAGACCACTGTTTTCGTACTCTAGATGTCATGACATGTCATAAAAATATGAAAGTGGTAATTCGGCCGATGGACTCGATCACTAATCTTTCTTAATTTAATTTAATTTAATTTAATATAATTTATTTTATTTGTAACGGAATCTCCAATTTACATTTACTTACGCTCGGAAAGTAAAAATACAGGGAAGACAGAAAAACGTCACAGAATACGCGCAAAATGTCCCTATGTGCGCAATATAATACCTATTTTATCATGGCGCCTACCTTCTGTAGCGACTGCGAAAAAAATTAATTGCTTCTCTACTTGGCAATATTTGGAAGCGCTTTGAAGCAAAGTTTATACAGGAGGAAATCATTTTTGAGGTAAAACAAATTTGTAATCTTTTGTTGAGTTTTAAACCAACATTTTGGCCAAAAAAACAGCAATTAACCTTTCCGTAAGCGCTACAAGCCTTTATTTACCGCTGAAGGGTTAGTTGGCGCCGTTTCATGTCGACTTTGGCGTAATAACAGCCTTAAGAGCGTGACAACTACTGGTTCAAGTGTCCAAGCTTCACGTTTCAGCAGCTACGCTACCATATTGAACATCCTTTTCCTTTCTTTGTGACCTATTTTAGTCGTGTCTCTCTTGCGAACAAGTCGATCTCTTTCTTTAACGCGGTTGGTAGCTAGGTCGGCTTGGGGATGCGGAGGTGGACTGGCAGTCTGGGCGGATTCGGCTCGGTTGTTGAGCTTGGATTTTGGCGTTCTAGATTTTTCAGTTGATCCCGTGAGCCGAGAGAAGTACTAATTGCTATGAAGTTTAATTTCCTTTGTGTTCTAATTAATATTAATTCGGCGTTTTGTCTCCTTTAAGGTATCTCAGAATTTACAAAAGCACTCTCTGAATGCTTTTAGCTTCTCGACAAAAGAAAAATTATTGCAAGAGCGAGCTTTTGTGAAGTTTCGCGAACGTTTCGGTAAATAATTCAGGATCAGTTTTTAACAAGTCCCGGTGTTATTCCGCAAGGAATGCCCGTCTTGTCTAATTAAATACTATAGGAAAACGAGCCGAAAATGTTTATGTAAAGGTGCGGGGGGAGCGATACTAATTTAAATTTTTTCCGGGCCACAAACAAGGAGTTTTCGCGTATGCAAAGCTGCCGTGTTTTTGAGGGACGTGGGGCGTGCCGGGTCGTAACTCACAAATTCGGGCCATTTATCATTAACCGAACGGAATAATGTCGGTTTTCATTTTTAATGTTTTCTGGAGTAATTTCGTAATGAGTCGGTTTCCGTCGGCTTGTTTTGCGTTCGTAATTCCCGGAGTTATATAAGTTGTACGCCAATAAATTGATATAAAAGCGGGCCGTCGAGGGAATCTCATAATTAAATTTAGTCGTTACGCAAATTAGGCACCGCGAAGAAACCTGAGTTTTTCACGCCGTAAAATGTTTTCCCTTTCTGAACAAACGGTGCGGAAATCTTAGTTCAACAGTTTGCTACAAGAGTGGTAATTAGACAAAAGGCTCGGAAGTACGTGGGGATGTTTCGGCTTGTCCATTTCGCGGGTTTTAATCGGGGAACGACGCACTTTAAATCAGCGAGGGCCAGATTCGACTCCTCTTTGAACCCCAAGAACGAGCCGAAATTTACTGGAGACATTAAAAACTTGAATATTACTTTCGCGGCAAATTACACTTCTCTGTGAAACAATCCAAGGTCGTCGACTAATTATAGCGTTTGGTACCTAATCTACCGCTGCGCGTAGGTGGATCCATTAGAGAGCACCATGTTGTTTATTATTGGGCTTTGGCTCTAATTAATCAAGCCATACAGACGGTGGAGTGTTCGCCCTCTGCGAGCGCAAAAACGGAGCCACCAATCGGGGAAGTGCGATTTCGACTAAGTGCGCTTAAATAAGATACGTGGACGAATTCGATTGGCTCAACGTTTCGTGTCGGTGCAAACTCAAGCGAGATCAATCGAACTTTTCAAACGATGCGCTTTAGGCAAACAATGCATTTATTGGTACGTCTTGGAGCGATTTCACGCCGCCTCTGTGTGTTAAGTTGACGAATCGGCATGTGCTAAATAGTAAATTAGCACCTTAAGGTGCTAAGTGAGGTGTAAGTACGTCGGCGCTTATAATTTTGTCGCGGTGAATTTGCATAGGTTATGCCCTCGGTGTCGCACGAGATCTTCCGAAGTGCAATTTAGATACCTCCAGCGGATATTACCTCGAACTTTTCAGGCTGATACAACGCCGAAGAGCAGCCCAGAATCCGGCTGCTAAAATATTAAGTTCAATTATAAAACGCGGCTAATTACGGATTGCGTTCCAAAGCCCGCGACTGATTAAAATTTAATAGTTCAATTTAGCCGAGCAATTTCTTCATAATTTTGACAACGTCTTCGGCGCCGGCCCTTATCGCGACATCTCAATCGATGCGGCACAAAAACGCGAATCGCCGACATCATTAACCGGCGTTTAAGTTCGCAAAGAACGCTCCGAAAAGTTAATCCAATCTACCGCCGGTACGGAGATAGATAAGATACTTTGTTATTTTCCAGTGCGATCTGAACGCGCCGCGCTGCAATGTTTATTTTATTAAGGTTTTTGCTTTTCTTTCTCCCCAATCTCGGCCTTTACGACGGTCGCATAGTATCCTAGATTACGACGTAAAAGAACGCACTCTGGAAAACGTCACATGTCCTCTCTTGAGCCGAATCAGCAAAACGCCCGCTGAATTCTTGAATGCTTTAATGCCGGAGCCGTCGGCTCTTATCTGCGCGTTTTCGTACTTGCGGAAAATTAAAATAATTACGGGCCGGAATCGACTTCCACGGGTGCATCGACCGGAAACTCGCTTAGGCCAGATGGGATTAAAATTCGGGCCGGATTGTTTGATGCCGGATCGGGAACGCTCACGTATTTATTAATAACGCCCATCCACAAAAGATTTTTTCCAACAACTTCAAAGCGAAACTTCTTTATTTGTTAGGCGACTTTCGGCCCCCGTCACGATGCAACAACCAACGCAAAACTGACATCTGAATCGACGATCAAAGACGGTGAAATCTTATATTATTTTAATAATGTTTAGTAATGCTACGAAAGAAATTCATGCCTATGGGTTCTACAATTGACCCTGTTGCTGAAGACATAGGAGTAAACCACGTTAAACAACTGAGAAATGGAGGGGTTGTTATCGGGTGCAATAAGAAAGAAGATATCACTAAACTACATAACATTAGTACGCAAAAACTCGGCGAGGATTACACAATTCGAAAATCTGGGTTAAGAAATCCCATGATAAAAATTGTTGGTTTAAGCGAATCATATAATGAAGAATCTCTAAAAAGATGCATAACTAGGCAAAACAGTACTTTGAACGATCTTATAAACACATGGAAACTTGTTATCTGCAAGAAAATGAAAAAAAAAATTGGTCTAAAGAGTTTAGACAGTACTTCCCTCGCTGTCGGAAACTTGACGACTGCATGCCTATTGTGTTTTTTTTCTCATTACATTTTTGTAGTGGGAATTTAAAAAAAAATTGCGATGACGCCATCAACATTTTTGCAAGGACACGTATATCAGTTGGGATAGATGTAGTGTAATACTAAGAATAAAATTATTATATTCTCAAATTTTCGGGAAAATGAATTGGGTCGTTTGAATATTGATTTGTAATAATCAATAAAATAACGAAACAATTTACTCACGTATACCTACGTATCAGAGGCAACTGAAAATCGTGTATGTATAAACATTGTTAATTTAAGATGACAGGCGTAACAGCATACGTGAGAGCCAAACACAGAAACTGTAAACAAAACGACCGTCGGTTTTATTGCTTCGACTTCCGCTTATTATATAAAACATTGGGTTTTATTTTAATTCTTGACGGTGAAATTCACAATTGGTTGATTATAAACATGTCTATTTCACATTCGCGGAATCAAGTGAACGCATAAAACAAATGCAGGTCTGTAATGTTAAAGTCGATGTAAATAAGCGTGCTACCCTATGTTTCAACCGAGTTTTTCCTTTAACAAATTTTGTGTCTACCAAATTGGGTTGGTTGGGGTGTAATACTAATAATAAGTGTTGCCTTTAATTTAATCAATAAAATAAATTGACTTCATTAATTTTTTTGAACCACCTCTTAAGAAAATCTAAAAAATATGAATGGAATGATAAATCACAAGTACAAACTCATCATATTTTTTGCATTTTAGATAGGATTTATTCAGCAAAATTTAAGGGTGACGTCATCAATTTTTTTAGGAGGGATGAACAAATACATTTTGAACAAAAGTTTACCATGCTTATAATAACTTTAAAATATTCCCAAGATTTCAAAGCATTCGGTTTTGTAATTCCTGATTAAATCGATAAAATAAATTCACGCCTTCATTAATTTTTTTGAGTCACCCTGCATATGCAAATCCAAAAATATGAATGGAATGATAAATCACAAGTACAGGCTCATCATATTTTGTACATTTTAGATATGATTTATTCGGCAAACTTTCGAGCTGACGTCATCAAGTTTTTGGAGGGGATAAGCAAATATATTTTGACTAAACATTTATTATGCTCTTTATGACCTTAAAACATCTGCAAGATTTCAGAGCATTCGGTTTTGTAGTTCCTGATTAAATCAATAAAATATATTTACGCATTCATTAATTTTTTTGAGTCACCCTGTATATGCAAATCCAAAAAATATTAATGGAGTGATAGTTCACAAGTACAGACTCATCATATTTTGTACATTTTAGATATGATTTATTCCACAAACTTTTGAGCTGACGTCATCAGGTTTTTGGAGGGGATAAGCAAATATTTTTTGACTAAAGATTTATGATGCTCTTTATAGCCTTAAAACATCTGCAACATTTCAAAGCATTCTGGTTAGCAGATTAAAAATTAAATTTCAAAATGTTGTTTTATAATTTTGATTTTTTTTTCCCAAAATCTGGACGTTTCGAGTGAAAAGTCGATTCAGAGTTGTAAACTACATGTGTAGGACTATGTTATTTTATACAATTGAAAACCCATTTACTATGTACAATTTTGAAGTGACAGGGATGATTCGACAAATTTTGGTTAGCGTTTTACCATCTACATGATATTCTTAATATAAGTACAAAATTTCACAACAATCGGTCGAGTACTTTCGGAGATTATCTGTCTAATAAAAATCCGTGACAACAGACGGACAGACGGACAGACGGACAGACGGACGGACAGACGGACAGACGGACAGACGGACAGACGGACAGACAGACGGAAATGGGAGACCTATTTCTTCGTCTTCTAGGGGTCATGAAAGATCCAGAAAACGTAAAAGTAGAGAGTCGGCCGACGGACTCGATTACAATACTTCCTTTGCTTACGCTCGGGAAGTAAAAATAGGTATGGCGATAGTAGAAGTCGATCCAAAGTCATTTTTAGAATTTATCAAATTAAAAACAGTTCTTATACATTGGGATGAATGTCGAATTTTCGAGCATTTTAGAATAATTCGATGCTACAATTGCGGTGGTTACAATCATACAGCGAAATATTGTATAGAAGGGACAAAGATTTGTCTAAACTGTGACAGTCGTGACCACGTCGAAATTGAATATGAAAAGGGAGAAATGTCGTGTATTAACTGCATCAGAGCAAATAAGAATTTGAAATTAGACTT